TAATTGAACGTCGTTAGTGAAAAACATGCAGGTTATTTGAATATTTATTGTGTTACTTCTCTGCTACCGTAATTGTTGTTAAGTTAGTTACTTTGCAGAAGATTGACATGGTGTAGTGGTTTGCATTCCACGAAATAGAGTTATACCATATGTTTTAAATGACTTCACGTAATCTTCATATCGTATTTTGCGCGCTTCGCGTTTTTTTCCTTTGTATATTTAATTGAATTTCATATGTTACAACTCTCAAGTAAGAGATAAAGTTTATTTTTTTATATTTCTTTCCATTTTGGTTTACTTGACCTCGTGACGTTATAAAGAGATAATCGTTTCCATATTATTATTTTTCTCATTTTAAAACTGACCCCCGTGCAACGCACCGGTGAAATACTAGTTTTCCTTAAACTAACTATTTCAATTAAATCTAATCATCAAATAGGTAAGGAATGAAATTCCATATCATAAAATGCATATCCTAATTTTATAAAATTTTAAAATACATAAAACATACACACGGTTTTTTGGTTTTTCGTCTTTTTTCTTTTTTTTTTGGTATTTTAATAATAAAATTATAAATTTCATAATATATTATTCATATGTTTATTTGAAATCGAATTTTAATGCACTAATAAAATACGTTAATGTAAAAGTATAAAATTATATTAATGAAATTTTAATGATTGATTATAGTACATGATCGGATGATATAATTCGTAAAGATTATTAATATTGCATTAATTTAAATTGATATAATTTCTGAATTTATCTATATTAATTTAAATATAAAAATATAGGAAAATTATTAATACTACATTTATCTATTTACATTTTTTTTTTTAAATTTGGTTTTATATATAATATTAATTTATTACCTATCTACGCTTTTTTTTTTCTAACTTTGATTGTGTATCTTAGTTTTATATATAATCCTATATATAAAAGAAAGAAACGATGTGGCAACCTAATAAACTCATATGGCATATCAGTAAATATAAACTAATTTATATGTATATATAATTTCTTTTATTTCCTATTTTGGAGCAATTTTTTTCTAATTAATTTAAGGGCGAATGGCAAAAAGGCCCATCACATGGGACTTAAATGCATATTGGTCCACAAAAAAAACAGTCTCCCAATTAAACCCATACCCATGTCTTTATACTAAAATACCCTCCATAATATAATTCTTATCAATTCCATCCATTATGCAGCTATGCTCCAACTTCCTTAAATACATTGACCCCGGATTTAAACAAATATATCACATTAACCTCCAAAATATTTTTTTTTTCAAAAAATAATTTTTTTTCTGAAATTTTGTGTTTTGAAAACTTCCTTAGAAACAAATATTTTAATTCATATTACTGTCTTGGCTACTAAATTACTGTCTCAGACAATAACATTACTGTTTGTGACAGAAATATTATGAATATTATTTTCCCGAACAGTAATATTATTAATATTATTGTCTAAGACAGTTAAATTACTATTGGAGACAGTAATTAAGCAGCCAAAGCAGTAATATTAATTAAAATAATTTTTTTTAAGAAAACAAAGATCAAAAAAGAAAAAAAAGTCAATTAACAGTTAAATTACTGTCTCCGACAGTTAAATAACTGCTAGAGACAGTAATTTAGCAACGAATACAGTAATATTAATTAAAAATATTTCTTTTAATAATAAAAAAAGTCAATTAACGGTTAAATTACTGTCTCCGACAGTTAAATAACTGCTGGAGACAGTAATTTAGCAAATAATACAGTAATATTAATTAGAATATTAAAACAAAAAAAGTCAATTAACCGTTAAATTACTGTTTCTGATAGTTAAATAACTGCTAGAGACAGTAATTTAGGAGCGAAGACAGTAATACTAATTAAAATATTTTTGAAAAAAAAAAAGTCAATTAACTGTTAAATTACTGTCTCAGACAGTTAAATAAATGCTAGAGACAGTAATTTAGTAAGCAAGACAGCAATATTAATTAAATTATTTTTTCTAAGAAAAAACAAAATTATTGAAAAAAAAAAAAAATTCAACGCCGGAAACCGGCCGGTCAGCGACAGTTATTATAATAATAATAATAATAATAATAATTATTATTATTATTATTATTATTATTATTATTATTATTATTATTATTATTATTATTATTATTATTATTATTATTATTATTATTATTATTATCATTATTATTATTATTATTATCATCATTATTATTATTATTATTATTATTATTATTATTATTATTATTATTATTATTATTATTATTATTATTATTATTATCATTATTATTATTATTATTATTATTATTATTATTATTATTATTATTATTATTATTATTATTATTATTATTATTACTATTATTATTATTATTATTATTATTATTATTATTATTATTATTATTATTATTATTATTATTATTATTATTATTATTATTATTATTATTATTATTATTATC